TTTAAGAAAGGAAAAAACTATTAAAATTGTAATAATATATACCGATAACAAAAGATAAATACAAGTCATTTGTATGCATTTTTTGGCACCCCTGGTATGAGAATAGGTGAATGTTGGGTAAATGTTAAAGCACTGACCTAAAATAGTATTTTTAAATTCTGTGTTGAATGCTTATTCTCTGCTATTCCTTGAGAATAAAACATAAAATAATTTCACCTTCATGAAATCTTTTCTATGCTTTTATGGTTCTAGCTTTCTAAGTGTATAATCAGACCCAAATATGTCTTATTTACTAGAAGGATTTGAATAATGCATTTATAATGTTTATTCCAGCCCTTCTATGAACACAGTTTGGCTTAGGCAAAGAATATCAAATACTTGAATAATTTACTATGAAAAATTCTAGATTATCTTTCACTGGATATTTTTTTTTATGATTGAAATTAGATTGTTCTTCCACATCCACCCACCACCATCATAAGATGACACAAAGATGTTAGCTAATGTATATCCCCATTTAGATTGTTTTATTTATTAATTATGATATAAGTATATAAGATTTGCAGAAATTGATTGTGGTAGTGATTTAGAATGAATTATCATATAAAAGATTAATTGACTCACTTCTGGGCCTTTGGTTCCTATAGTAACCAGAGTATAGGAATACATTGTTTAAAAAATTCACTTGAAGTTTTCCATTTATACTCTGTAAAAGCAAATTGGATGCCTATTGTTATCATACATAAATATCTTAACTGCTAAGATTTTCTAGGATTGTAATAGAAGACCAGTGATTTCAGGAAGTCATTAAGTAACTGTTAGAGAAATTAAACAATGTTAATAAAATATGAACTCAGGACTTTCTGATTATTTTCCTAGATAAAGTTTTCAGTCATTTTTCACTTTTTAGAGTAGAAGAAATTTTTTTAGACTTGATTTACGCCTTCTCTTTTCCAAATCAAAACATTTTATACTTCTCAATCTGCTTATTCCTGTAAATTTGTCATGGGCATACTTGATTATAAGATAAGGTAAAATAAGATACATTATATCTTACTATCACACACTAACTTTTGTAAACCAAAGAGTTGGAGATTTAGAATGGAACTCAAGGCAGTGTAAGTATATATCTTATCTTTCTAAAATACCAGGAACTTCTGAAACAAGTGTAAACAAATAGACACAATTTCTGTAACCTACAGTCTAGAAAGGGAGACCAACATTAATCAGATAATCATACAAATAAATGTAAAATTAGCACCATGAAAAATGCTATGAAGGAAAGGTGAACAGTGCTTGTAAGGGGATTTGACCCAGTCTTTGGAGAGACTGCAAGGGCTCAGAGGCTTCCCTGAGGGATTTACTTTTGAACTGAGAGCCAAGTGATTATTGGAAATTATGCAGGTGAAGGAGGATGTGAGAAAATTCCAGGAAAAGAAATAACATGTATCATAGAGAGTGTCATTTATTTGAAATGGAAGGAGGTCATGTGGCTGGAACATGGGGAACAGAGGAGTGTCCTGCAAGATGAGACAGGAGAGCGATGGCTGGGCCCGACCATCAGAGCCAGTTCCATGAAGAATGAAGGCTCTTTCTCGAGAGCAGTGGGAGGCTTTGGGAGTTTCTGCAGCGTGGGGATGGGAGGAAAGGGTATGATAGGATCAGACTTGTTTTTCCTGAAGATTGGTATAGAAGGGACTGGAGGGGGAAAAGCATGGATCAGGAAAGACCAGTTATAAGGCTGTTAGAGTAATCCTGGCACGGAATGGCTTGAATTAGGGGAATGGCGGTATGGAGAAAGGCGTAAACCAAAATCCACCCTCACTGTCCCCCCTCCTCAATTATTTAATTCATTTTAAAGCCATGTTACAAAGGATCTAGGCTGTCCTTTGGGGGATTTTTATTGTTCTCTGAGCAAAAGCTTCCAGTTAGTAATGTAAAGAAATGAGATTTGTTGCCTCCCCGGTACTATCCCAGTTATAAGCTTGCTACTTCAACAGTCCAATGATAATTATATTGATATGTATTGATAATTGTCTTGATAAATATAATATGACAATATTTGACAGTGGGCCATTGGATCCTCAGTTTCTGGAGGTTCCTGGGTGTACCCACAACTGCGTGGGCATGCTAAGCCGCATCTCTTACTGAAATGTTTTTTTCCTTCTCTTCCTCCTCCTCCTCCTCCTATTACGATTGTTTTTTAAAGAATGTGTTGTGATGATGGTGTCTTATATTGCTTTGTCAAGGATATCTTTGTCTTAAGTTCATGTTTGACTTAGTACTTAATTCCTAGATAGTCTGTTTTTATCTCCTCAGGAAACACAATTTACCTCTTGTTCTGCTTTTCAGTGAGGTTCATTGATTGGCCATCTCTTTAGTGTAAAACACTGTATAAAATAAGTGAATTTATTAGTGATTTATAATAACCCTTTACAACAACCTCATCAATTATTTATAAAAACAGTTTATGCACCAACTTAGCTTTGGTGAGAATAATGTGCTTCACACATTGATTAGTAGGGAATGTGTTTTACACATTGATTACACATTGATCAGTTCCAGTAAATTCCCCCATTTATTTGAGAAGAATAACTTTTGATGACACTTTGCAAGGATCCTTAGTAGTTTGAAAGTGCTAGTAGTCATCTAAAGATGAATTGTTTGCATCAGGGAACATTAAAAAAATAATAAAACTAAACTCTTCCTATGATAATGTCAGCCACCTTAGAAACTTGCAAATATAACATTTAGTGATACAAATGACAAGCTTTTCTTTTAAACTAGCCTGTGAGCCTCTAGCCAGTTCAGAGCTGTGTGCTGTCATTCAGTAAGGAGATGATGGCTCTCCATTTTTAGGACTAAGCCTCCAGAGTGGGGAGGGGGTAAGTGAGAGCTTATTAACAAGTCAAGAGTTGTAAATAGAAGAGTTAGTTAACTGCTCCAGGCTGCTAGAATAAGAGCTCTTCAGTTTCCCTAGACAATACCCAGCAATGTTTCTTTTAAGGTAGCTGGTATAATCTGCCTGAAGGAGTTTCTAACTTGCTCTAGACCAGCGGTTCTTAACCTTCCTAATGCCGCGACCCCTAATACAGTTCCTCATGTTGTGGTGACCCCCAACCATAACATTATTTTTGTTGCTACTCTATAATTGTAATTTTGCTACTGTTATGAATCGTAATGTAAACATCGTTTTGTTTTCCGGTGGTCTTAGGCGACCCCTGTGAAAGGGTCGTTCGACCCCCAAAGGGGTCGTGACCCACAGGCTGAGAACTGCTGCAAGTCTAGCCGAAGAATCTCTTAGTGCTGGATCTGCTCCTACCTCCCTGGATCCTAGCTCTCTGGCTTGATCACCTGTGATGAAACCTGTCTTCTTCCTGACCTTGACTCGCTTCTGTGCCAGCCACCCGACCTGTTCAGTGCCTCACTTGACACTGGCTTCTGTTATGCCTTCTGCTCACCCTGGAATGATAGCCCAGCTCCATGGATGGTTTCTCAGCAGCAAACTCTTACTTAGCATTGATGCACTTAAAGTTTTCCATAGTCCAGTTTTACTAGTAAAACCACCAATAACTAATCAAATACCTCAGCTGTTCCTCTGATGTAAGACAGTAGGGTGTTCTTGAAAACATGAACTACTGGCCACATGTTGAGTTGTTTTATGTACACAGAAAGTAGCATCAGGATATGAGATTGGATCTGTTCAGTTGAGAGTAGCATTATATTTTAAACCTTTCTCAGAGAGGAGATTTTGAGAATGTTTATTACTGGGACTTAAAACATTCTTGACTAAAGCTCTGCAAACTAAAGTTAATATTTTTAAAGTGGAATAGTTATCATCAGCTCTTCTCCCTATGCTGGTCTGGCCAGTAATACATACTCAGTTGTGTATTTGTTGAATATATGATAGTCACCAAATCCATATTTAATTATTCTCTTTTGTTTCACCAACATAAGCCATTCAAATGCCTTTTTTGGGGGTTTCTTATTACTATGTAAAACATTCTTGAATTACTTGTTTTGGCCACAAGCTAACAGAATATTTTATAGATGCGATAAGCAAATATGATTTATAACCAATGATAGTGATATAGAAAAAACCTATCTTATGCTTACCATTGGATGCCAATTTTACTTGAACCAGAGAGCACATTTAGAACTTATATGTTGATTAGAACTTTTATATCACATATAGCAGATTCACTTGTTGATTTTAGAACATTGACTAGCTTCTGTCTATATAAATAATGTTGAAATTGGTGTGGTACAGTACCTAAAAAGCTTCATTATTTTATATGTAATATACTAGTATAAAGGAAGTTAAATTTATGTGGCAATGAGCATTAACTTCCTCCTGATGGTCTGATGTTTTAAGATATTTAAATATAATGTTTTAAAAGTAATACGAAGAATAATTAAAAATTAATATGCTTCTTTCAAGTGTAGTTTGTATGATCTGTTTCATTATTTTATAGTTGTGACTACTATGTCATCAGAAGTTTAAAAAATTCCCAAATACAGAATTGCGTCTTTGTTTCAGAATTCACTGAAATGCTATGTAGTGCTTATTTAAGAGCAACTAATGATGCAGTGATGAGACTTCAGCCCTTTTAAAACCTATAATCCTAAGTAATTGCCCCCATATGCAAAAAAAATTTGATGTACATAGTTGTAACACTGTGTTAATATACATAAATCATTGATTTACAATGAATGTGAACATTGTACTAGTGAACTTATGTGAGCATTTCTAACCTATGGGATATTTGTTTTGCAGGAGAAAATAGAGATAATTATTTTCACAACTTGAATACGTAATTCCCCATTAATAGTGATTCTTTCACCAGTTGTTACCACAGAGTTGGCTGAAATTAATGCTCTTCTGTCATAATCAATCAAGGCAATTTACATTTAGTTTTCTTTGTCTTTTTTGTTTGTTTGTTTGTTTGTTTTGTTTTGTTTGATTCCCTCCATTCCCCAATCATTTCATGGCATTGCAGCGCTTCAGAGAATTTAGATGAGCTGTCTTCCTCCAGTAGTTGGTTACTTAACCAGAAGCACAGTAAGAAAAGGAGAAAAGACAGGACAAGATTGAAATCTCCTCCCTTGACTGTCATGAGTACAGCAGCTCGAACAAGGCCACTTCAGAGTTTCCACAAACGAAAACTCTACAGATTGAGCCCTACTTTTTATTGGACTCCGCAGGTAAGGTTGCCTTTGGGAAAACATGAACAAAGATTTTATGGTCAATATATTTCATGAGGCTATGGATTGTACACTGTTATTTAGATAATTACATCTAGAAAGTTTTAAATAGTATATAGCTTGTAAGTGACTAATAGGTATTGACAATATACAGAGGGTGCCAAAAAAATGTATACACATTTTAGGAAAAGAAAAAACTATTAAAATTATGCTGATGGTAACCACTTTGAGCAACTCTTGTGATTGCAGAAGTAGACAAATGTGACTTGTAGTCATCTTTTGTTATTGGTTTATATTGAGTATTACGACATTAATACAGTTTTTTCCTTTCTTAAAATGTGTATACATTTTTTTGGCACCCCCTGTATTTGTGGGATTTAATACATTTTTAAACATAGCAGTTATTCTGAAATTTCTCACATCTCCATTTATTAAATCCACTATTATGCTTAAACTAATTTGAAGGAAAATAACGTATCTAGGTGATTTTAAAATTTTACTGGTAAGATAATAATGAGAGCATAAATTTACTATATGTTGTTTTTTTGCTTAGTAAAGAAAAAAAGTAAAAATCTGCACATCTGACAGTTATTTTGGAGGAAATGGCATTGCTTTCCTTTTTAGATTTGGTATTTATTAATCCTGGTGAGTGAACCAATTTACAGTTTCTAGAATATAAGCAATGCAATTTTAGATGTCCATGCTTACACTTTTTATAAATAAAATAAACTTCATTAAAAGCATTAATTTTGAAAAACATATTTTTCATTTATTAGCAAAATGTTAGGCATACATCTTTCAATGCATATCTAAACAAACTGATGAAGGGCACAATAAGTTATTTCTAGCTCTTGTATGACATGCTTTTTTCCTATTGTGTTTTTAAATAATATGTCAAAGGAAAAATTATCCTTGATGCTATCACTTAATATTATTACTACTTTAAATATTTTAAAATATATTTGTATAAACATCAAGATGCTTAGTTTTATTAGTAATCACTTTTAAGTATGGTTTAATAGGATCCAATTATAAATAGGAATATGGATTCTGACAAATTAGTTTTTATTAATAGATTGAGTTTAACCATTTAGTAGTTCACATATTATTAGCATGCTCCCATAACTTGAAAATGTTTTTAAATTAAGTTTCATTTCAGAATTTTAAGAAATTTTATATAATCAACCTAATGGGGAAATATTTTTATTTAAAGTTTTTATATATGAAGTCATATTTAATGATTTCTATTTAAAATTGCCACAAGAAATAAGTAAATAAAATTTCTGAAACTGATTTGGTAATTTCATTGTTAAAAAAAAGAATTGTCGATCTAAAATATTTTACATATGAATATGCCATAATATACTTAATGGAAGGAATCTGCTTGAAAAATTTAGAGGATTTGCTAGATGTTACTATATATATGCCTTCATAATGTAAAGATTGGCCATGAACGGTATGAACACATTTAAAACTTTTAGTGAACAAAGGAAGAAACAAGTGTAAGGTATGATTACTAGAACACCATATAATTTATCAATTTCCAGTCACAATGCTATGCATTTTTAGTACATTATTTAATTTCAAACTTATTACTATGAGGTATTATTAATCCCACTTTAGATGCAGAAATTGAGCTTTTGGGAGATTTAGTAGCTTTCCCAAGGTCATAGAGCTAGTAAGCAGTAAGTCTGATTCCAAAGCCTGTCTTCTAACCCATAGCATTGATAACAATAGAAATAAACCAAATCTTTTGTGGGCTGAGATCAGTAAAGAGGAAAGAGTAGTTTTAGGGTTGGGAAGGGGCTTTGTCTGGTTAGAGGTATTAAGAAATGCATCATAAAAGATGGGTTTTAAAAGGTAAACAGGATTTTGAAAGGGTGTAGGGGTGATAAAGTATTTTAAATGAATAATTGGAAGAGAGATAAAAAAAAACGATGGAGAATAGCAAATAGCCCTGCTCCCAAAGTATCCTTAAATTGCCAGAATAACAGTTATTTACCTTTTTAAACTTAATAAATGTCATTTTTTTAAAAAAGGTGCTGTCATCTTAGAGAATACATATTTGTTATGAACAGAATGTTACTAGAAATATGAGCCTTGAAAGTGCCTTTGGTAAAGATTTTTGAAGGAAATGTTATTAGAAACTGGAAGAAAGGTGGTCGTTGTTATAAAATGGTAGAAAACTTGGCTAAATAATACTCTACTTTTAAGTAGAAAACAGAACTTTTAAGCATTGAACTCTGGGATATTTAGCTGAGGATATCAAGCAAAGTGTGGAATTTGCACTTTGGTTTCTTCTTGCTGTTTATAGTAAGATATGAGAGGAAATAGATCAATTGAGCAAGGAATTGATAAGCAAAAAGGAACCAGAACTTGATAATTTGGAAAATTCTCATCCTGTTGTAAAAAATGCTATATAGCATGCCCTGGAGAGAATCCAAGGTTGTGGCAGGCTGACCTTTGCTGGAGAGATTAAGTATGACTCAGAGATCCAACCCGACCAACCATCTTCACAGAAGCCAGGAATAGAAAGGGGATTATCCAGAAAAGATCTGGGGAGAACCCACTTATCTAATGACATACAAGGGGGACTCACATGTTTTTTTAAAGTGTTAGGTCAACAGCAACACTACCAGCTTAGACAGAAAAGGATAGAGACTTTATCATAGGCAATTAAATGAAACCAACGGGTAGTTTGAACATTCTGCCTAGAAATCTCTTTAGGCAAACCTATGAGTTCATTATGTGTCCGTTTTATTGTCTACATGTCTACAGGCAACTGTTAGACTACTTGTTCTGCCAGAACAATAAGATAAAAGAAATAGAGGTACAAGGATTGGAATAATTATTTAGAATCATTGTTTGTGAGGTTATGATACTTTTGCTGAGCAAAATTAATTAAAAGCATAAATTAGTATGCATTTTTACTTGAATTTACTGTTCTTACAATACTAATCTCCAATGAGAATGTCAAATAATAACAGCTAATATTTATTAAGCAAGTATCATATGCCAGGCACTGTTTTAACTTACAAATGCTTTACATACATTTCTTACTTAATATTCATACCCCATTTTATATGGGGAACCTGAAGCACAAAGTGGAATGAAAAGACATATATTTAGCACTATTTAAATAGATATAAGTACAAGTTTGAAGTTTCCCTTTAAGTGTTAATGTTGAGTCTTAACACTACTTCTTTAATGAGCTTGTGTAAAACATCTGATGAGTCTTTCGTGAATTGTTTCAGACTGTTTCTTCCTGTGAAATCTGTCCATAGCAACAATTGTTAAAACTCCATTTAGTTTCTAATGCTATTTAATTTTTTTGTCTTTCTTATTCTTCTAGCTGAATCACATCTTTTGCTGTCTAAGCCTATTCATTACTGGAACACTTTAAGTTTTTTTTCTTAGAGAATCTATGCTTTTTTTTTCTTTTTTCTTATGCTTGGAATAATATTGCTTGATCTACCTACAGTATATCTTTAAATTCAGGAAAATGCATTGGCAGGAATATTTAAAATATGATTACGTTCTCCAGAATAATACTCTAATGTAAGTCTAAAAATGTAAATATGGCTAATAGTCTTCTTTAAAATACAATTTCATTTGCAATTAATTAAAGAAAAAATGTTTCTTTGGCCATAATATGCTTCTTACGCCTCTTCTTGAATTAAAGTTATAGAGTATATAACACTATTGCTTTGAGAAAATATGCTTTATGTAAATATAGATAAATCTGGAAGGTACCAAATTCTAGAGAGCCTAAAAATTATTTCCTATAGGGAGGCAGCACATTTTAGTGGTTTTGTGCATGGGTTCTGGAAAACACGTTGAGTTGAAATCTTATTTCTATGTCTTAATAATAGTGTGTAATATTATGCAGATTACTCACTGTCGTGTTTTCCCATTCATAAAAGTAGGGCTACCTCCATGGGCTACTTCAGCTGGAGGGCCAGTTGAGCTGGGAGAAGTTAGCGTCACCTTTTCCTCCAGCTGGTAGTGCTGGCTGTTGGCCGAGGACACTCAGTTCTCTCTCTTGTGGCCTCTCATCCTTCAACAGCTAGAATGGCTTTATTACATGGCACTTCAGGACAGTGCTTCAAGACGGCACGGAGGAAGCTGCAAGCCCCTTGAGCCCTAGGCACTGGATCTCAATAGCATCATTTCTACTGCATTCTATAGGTCAAAGCAAGTCACATGGCTAACCCAGATGCAAGGGGATGGAGAAATAGATTCCACCAATAAAAGGAAGTTACAGCAAAAGGGCACACATACATACATAAAGGGATGGGAGGAGTTTGTGACCATTTATCAATCTTCCACTTGGGGTCTGCATTGGGAGCAGGTAGGTAACCCCAAATTAAGACATGAGCTGAAACAAGCAATAAAGAGAAATAGGGCTGTCCTATAGAGTTGTGTTGATATTAAGTAAGATAACACATTTGAAAGGTACCTAGCTCAATGCCTGGCATATAAATCCTCATCAAATATGGATGATGATGATGATGATGATGATTCAACGATTATGACAACGCTGGGGAATCAGTGATGGTTGTAGTGTGGGGAAGTGATATGATCAATGTATTATTTGAAAGAATGCCTTGGTACCTTTTAACAGGACAACTTGCTTTGGGAAGAGATCAATTGAGAGGTTATTTCAATAGCACAGATGTAAGGTTATTAAGAGTGGAATGAAACGGACAGATACAGAAAAACATTTTAAAAAAGAAATGACTAGTCTTCTTAACTGACTTAATATGATTAAAGAACATTTTTAAATGAGAGGAAGAAGAGGCACAGCCAATTATGGTGTTGCTTAGTCCGCTTTGTAAAATGCCCAGTCAAGTCTTAGTGGTGATTAATACTTGTATTAGGGATTAAGTAGCAGTAGTACATGAGTGAAATCTGGCTCTGTGTCGTCTGATTCATAATTCCGTAAACTCCACTGGGGAGTGGATGAGTGAAATGTAGCTTTCAGAACCCAAATATACAAA